CAATCAAGGGGTTTCTAGTCTGTCGTTTTAAACAAGGCTACATGAACCCTTATGTCTTTGACCTGTTCCAATTCCGGTCTCTAGACAAAGCACAAATGGTGCACACTACACACCAAATATATGAGAAGATACTTCAAACACCCATCAATAATGTTGGGACGATAAGAACATGCCATACACAACAAACAATCAACGTCTCCCATGGACTACATTAAGTACATCACATATTGTATAAGGCCATAAAGGGGTATCCCACCTATAAATACTCCCCTTCACTCTTTGTTAACTAATACGTTTTATCAATCTTTAGCTAATATAGTGTCTTGTGCTATCTTTCTTTCTTGCTCTGGCTCTACTTAATAACTTTAACCATGAACTCCTTCCAATCCCAAAATTATCTTCCCAGTTACTATCCACTATCTTCTTACATATTTTGATTGATCATTTCTTAGAATAAAATAGGGATGCCTCCTTTTGTTTTGTGGAACTTTTGATGTAGTTTATAAATATATACGTATTACATTTTATTTTTAAATTTTATACTAATAAATACATAAAATTGAAAGCAACTTTTCTCAAACAGTGCATATTGAAATAGTTTTGGGACATAGGGAGTAATTACTTTCACATGACCTCCCTCGTTCGTCTTTGGTGGTTTATTGACCTTCAAGTTGGTGCTTTTATTGATTGCTCAAGACTACGCTCAAGGTTAACTTTCGCTTGCCATTATTGTTGCTACCGCAAGGGAGACGAAAAACAATCACCCTCGGGAATAGCCGTCGCCAAGGCGACAACACCCAACAACCAATGGTTGCTCTCCCCTTCATGCAAGTAGAGATGCACGATTACACCGCCGCCATGGGCACTTGGTCGTAGTTGTCCAACAACTCCCCACTAGGTCGCTTCTCCTAAGAAGACTATGGTGGTTGACAAAGAAGTCACCTCCTAAGTCAAAAGAGTTGTGCCCCTATGCAAAGAACATATTGTGGAGGTTGAAACACTCAATGATGATTCTCAGCATTTGACTGAATTCACAACAAGAAGGAGCACATCTCGGTCTCCAAGCACTTCATATTGGGTGATCAAGCTCCTGACCATGCACTCCCAAGGACCTTCAAGACAGGTCGAGGCCGCATCTAGCTCCAATGCACGAAGGTTTGTACGCCCGGGGTGGAGTGCATAGGCGACCACCTCAGACATCCCCCGTTGCTCCCCACATAAAGACAAACCCTAGTCCAAGATCAAGTGATTGTTGATCTAAAGAAGTTGGCAGAAGAGATGCGGAACTTTGAAGCAAGAAGGTGCCTTATGATCAGCCCGTGCCCTGGACGGTCACGCCTTTCACCACATGGATAATGACGTACCCCCTCCTTGAGGAGTTCCGACTTGCACCTCAAGCCATACAACGGGATGACAGACCCACAAGTCCCTTGGTCTCAATACCATACTATAATGCTCAATCTCAGGGCTCTCGAGGAGATCATCTGCCATTGCTTGCTTGCTACACTTGAAGCTCATGCGTGTGAGTGGTTCAACAACTTGCCCAGGGGTTCCATAGATGAGGGGGACGATTCGCCAAGAGGTTTTTGGAACGCTGCAGTCAGCCATCCCCAAAAGCTTCCTTACTCCCACCTCCTTAGCATCAAGCTCGGGAAGGGGGAGAAGCTCAAGGACTTTTTGTCCTGGTGAGAGAAAGAGTCCCACTAACAGCCATGGGGTGGACGACCGAGCACTCATTGCCATGCTCCAGGAAGCTCTCCCACAAGTTAGAATGCAGAATAAGAGTCCATTTAGTAGACTGGATGAAACTCCCGATGGAGCCAAAGATTCACTATTTTTTGGCTTTGGAGTATGGTGGAATAAAGAAAAATGGCTTTTTAAACTGTTCGCGGTTCTTTTAATAGTGAAATAGCAGTTAGTCAATGCAACTTTCGACTCCCATCATGGCTCATCTGGAAACAACCGCTCTATGTTTTAAATATAGGGGTCAAGCTGCGTACATGATTGCCTGTGGCGCTTCAGCTAGAGGTCTCTTTTGAAACAACCTCTACTTTCGAGTAGGGGTAAGATCTGTGTACGCACACTCTCTCCAGACCCCACTCTTGTGGGATTCAACTGGGTTGTTGTTGTGTGCAGTAGACTCAAAGAAAGATCTTTCATTGAGCTACTCCATTTTGTGAGATTCATGACGACTTGTGTTACATTCAGTGGGAATCAATATATCTAGTGTAGGGTTGAAACAAACTCTAGTGCATTATCACTATGCAAGATGTATATTGTTTTGTCGTCGAACTGAGTTTGTAAGACCAGCACAGAAATTTTGAGAAGCATTAAACAGTTCTGATCGTTTCTTCATGAGGAAGACCCACATACGTGTAGAAATAGTCCTCAACGAATGGAAGAAAGAAATGAAATCCCTTTAAATAGATGGCATGACATGGATTCCACTCATCAATATGAACTGAATTATTGACTATCCCTAGAAAAGATTGTTGGGCTAGCATTTCAAGATGAAACCATCTACATTCTAAAAACCCGTGTTGAAAAACCTAATTTTCTACAGTGTAGTTTAGATAAGCTGGGGTGTCTGAATATTCCATGGATACAACAACAACTAGGTTGGGTGCATAGAGGTCCTGCAATTCACATCCAACTCCAATCTCCCCCATGTAGTGCAATCATGTACTATTGTCGAAGTACTAGAAAAGGCTACAATACAATTTAAGAACATGTAAGCTTACTAATGGAAACAAGGCTGAATGGACTATTTGGCTCATTTAAGACACAAGAAGACTGAAAGGGTAAAGACATGAGAATTGCCTGGCCAATTCCAGTCGTTGGTGTTTTAACTTTTAAGACCATTAGCTAAGGTGAAGTTAACAAATATGTCTGACCAGATTTGTGGTCGGAGGCATCTAAGATAAGTATTCATAGCCTATATGTTAGAGGATGTGATGTTAGAAATGCAGACAGTAGAAAAAGTATTGGTATGCATTGCCAGAAATGATTGCACGATAATCTTGAGTTGCAGATATTGCTTATGCTCAAGATAAGATAAGGTGATTGGAGTCTAGGTTGCACTCAGACGGGCGCGGGAACATTTACGGGGTCGGGGATGCGGATGGGAAACGGCATTTTAAAAAATAAAAGATGCGGGTACGGAAAAAATAAATAATTTAACATTAAAAAAATCATTATGTCTGTATGTATGTATGTATGTACACACACATATGCCATCCATCTTGATGTGTTCGTCCAATACTCTCATGGAAAGTAGGATTTATACATAGAAAATGCTATTTTGACACCATCCAGGTATGACACTACTCTCACACTGAATTGCACACACACAGTCCTTGTGTGTGTATGTGTGACATACTGATGTCATGCACAGCTCTGGTATCACTCTAGTATGAGCCTTTATAGATAGATGTGGTGCACATTATGTCTTCTCTATGTTACAGTCTCAATCATGATTATAAACTTATGACACGCATTGATTTTCAGTTAAATCTATTGCTCTTTTGCAGGTGTTGTGAAACCCAAGCGATCAATTTGGCGTTTGAAAACATTGACTGATTTCTTTTGGGCAATCATCAACTTCATTAGCGTTTTCTTTGCCACCATGTTTTCAGTAATGTTGATTCTGTTGTTTGGTTAATTAATTTGATTTCAGTATCCTATTTTTATGCTCCCTACTCTGCAGATGGAAAAGTCTGATGCTTATAGGAAGGGGACTGGATCTAGCAAGAAGTGGGATGGTGGTGGCCCTGGAGGTCCAGGAAGCGGTCCGTATGGATCAGGTCCACGTGGTGGGCCACCCCGTGGATTAGATAATGTCCGAGGCATTGACCATAGTGAGTAGTTCTTTGTGGTCAAAGTATTCTTTTTCATTCTTTTCTGAAAATGTGATTTAAGTGTATTGTTCTGGCAACAATGCAGGTTCCCTTCCTGCGTGCGGCTCCTGCTGTGGTTAAGATGCAAAATTTCTGTCACCAATTGTGAATTGCATACCTTAGAAAAACTACAACAGGATATAATGTGGTAAATTTAAAACACACTTTTCACAACTAATGCTTGTTTGTGCTTTGAATGATGTTTCTATTATACTTATCATTTGCGTTACACGTTTGGATGTCCTTGACATGGTGGGCAATCACCCTGAATGTACTCTAAATTCAACCTCTTAAAGTGACTGATTAGACCATTCTGTATGAATATTTTTGTTTCTTCACTTTCTTATCAGTACTCGTGGGATTTCAGTTTATGCTTGGCTGAATATTCAGTGGGGGGGGGGG